ACCTTTTTCGTAAATCCGTGAGGTACTTGGGTCACATTGTCGACTCTTCGGGGATTTCTACCGATCCTGCGAAGACGGACTGTGTCAGTTCGTGGCCGACGCCCACGTCAGTGTCAGACGTATGCAGTTTCATCGGTTTTGCTTCGTATTATCGCCGATTCGTTGAGCACTTCGCCACCATTGCAAAACCCTTGCACGCTCTAACGGCGAAAGGAGTGAAGTTCCGATGGGGACCGGAGGAGGAGGCTGCATTCTGCTCCCTCCGGGACGCCTTGGTTAGGGCCCCACCCTTGCGCTATCCGGACTTCGCGAGTCCCTTCTTGCTAGACACGGATGCTAGCAACACGGGCATTGTGGGAGTGCTGTCCCAAGTCGTTGGAGGGGTCGAACGAGTGGTCGCCTATGGTAGCAGGGTGTTGTCGCCGGCAGAGCAGCGCTACTGCGTCACCCGTCGCGAACTGCTTGCCATTGTTTTTTTTGTACAACAATTCAGGCCATATCTCTATGGTCGTCATTTCACGGTCCGGACGGACCACGCGGCGCTCCAGTATTCATTGCGGGTCGCCCAGCCCTCGGGCCAATTGTCGCGGTGGTTGGAAGTCCTCCAGGACTATCAGTTTACGACTACGTACCGTAAAGGGTTGCGACACACAAATGCCGATGCCCTGTCGCGGTTGTTGCCTTGTCACAAATGTGCGTGCTTATCGGGATCGGCGCGCTGTAAACCGCCGGTTACGGAAGGTAGGGAGGCGTTGGTTGCGACCGCGAGCACACCAATTGGGGATGGTCCCGCTACCCCTGGGGGTCAGGACTCGCTGCTCTCACTGTCATTGATTGAGTGGGGCCGTCTCCAAATGGCGGACAGCTCCCTGCTGGCATTGCGCCGCAAGACGGGGGGTTCCGAAGGTAACCACGACCGAACTGGCTCCTACGAGCTTAAGCAAGGCCTATTGATGAGATGGGACAGTTTGTCCCGGCGGCATGCGATTGTGGTGCCTTCTGCTGTGAGGGGGAAGGTTGTCTTGGCCGCACACGAACGCCTCTTGCATTTGGGAGTTAACAAAACGCTTGCCCTGCTTCAGCGTGACTATTATTGGCCGGGAATGGGGGGTGACGTGGTGAATATTCTGAAGGGTTGTGTTGAGTGCGCCAGACGGAAACCACTGCCCGTGGCAGCTAATCCACCGCTGCAATCCATCCAGGTCTCGCGCACTAACGAGCTCGTTGCACTCGATATTCTGGGGCCTTTTTCGGTCACGCCTAGGGGTAATAAGTACCTGTTGGTGGGGGTCGAATATTTTACCCGGTGGCCTATGGCGTGGCCACTCGCCAACCAGTCGGCGGCGGCTGTGACGGACGCCTTTGTCCAGGGCTACGTCCTGGACAAGGGGGCTCCCGAACGCTTGCTGACTGACCAAGGGAAAAATTTTTCGAGTAAATTACTGCAAGAGGTGTGCGACCTGTTGGGTACCAAGAAGGTGCGTACCTCCCCGTACCACCCGCAGACGGACGGGATGGTGGAGAGGCTTAACAGGACATTGACTTCTATGTTGTGCCAGGAGGTGTGTGAGGCACATGTTGATTGGGACCTGCAGGTCCCTGGGGTCCTCGCCGCGTATAGAATGGCCCCCCATGCAGCTACGGGATTTTCCCCGTTTTATCTGATGTACGGTCGGGAAGCCGACCCGCCCATGGAAACGCAGCTGGGTCTGCCCGCACCACGAACTAATTCGAAATTGGCAGAGCATATTAAATTTAATATTCATAAGCTGACAGAGGCAAGGGAGGCCGCACGGCTTAATTCGCGGGCTCGCCAAATTGCAAACGAGCGGTTGCGGGCACGGAAGGTGTCCGTGCACAATTGGGAACCAGGTGACAGGGCCTGGCTGCATTGCCCTCAGGCACCTTTGGCTACGTCACCTAAATTGTTGAAGCCATGGCGGGGACCCGTGGAGGTCGTGCGGGTTGCACGCCCCCAGTGCGTTCAGATAAAATGGGGAAAACGCCGTTGGTACGTCCACCCCTCCCGACTGAAACCGTTCTCGCCTCCGTATGGCCTCCCCTTGTGTCATGAGGGCCGAGCATGTGACGTGACCGGCGACCCTGAGGGGGAATTGTCTTTGCCTGCTCCTCACATGTCTCCGCCTGATCCGCTCCCAGGTGTCTCGGAACTGACAGCTGCCGACCACCGGCGGCCGGATCTTGAGCGGCCGGAGCCACCGGACGGTCGCCAACGTCCCGTCCCATACGACGGACCGGCCAGACGGACTCGCGCTAGGTCGCGCTACTTTGTGTGACCTACCACGTGAGGAGTCGAGGCAGCCGGAGCGCCTCGGCACTGCGTTTAGTCGGAGTGACACTTGGCGTGTTCGTTTTACGGTGTTCGCTTTTACTGTATTGTTCGTCGGGCTGTATATTGCTTCTTATTTAAGTGTTGTTGTTGTGTTGTTGTTGTTGCGTTACGGGGCACACTGGGGGGGTGGGGTTTCTTTATTACTGCGTTGACGTTAGGTTGTGTTGTTGGTTAACAGCCGGGCCGGCTGCAAGCTATGTGGGAGGGGGTGATGTAGAGGTGATACGCGCTGGGATGAGGGATCGTATGCCAGCGAGTAATGATTGGCTGTGTATGTGGTGACGCGCGCTGACGGTGGAGGATCAGGGGTCAGCGCGGGGTCGTGGGTTACGGGGTAATGATTGGCTGTGGGCCGGTGACGCGCTGAGAGGGAGTGACCGGGTGGCAGCGCGGTGTGATTGGTGGAGGAGCGTTAACACGCGCTGGGGAAAACGGATCGTAGAGAGAGTGCGTCGTGATTGGTTCACTAAGGAGCGATGCTCACGTCGACGTACGCATCAGCTCCGTCTCTCGTGAGCAGGGGCTATAAAAGGGGATGCACACAGGCGTGAGGGCAGTGTGTAACCAGCGAAGAATGAAGACGGGGATGAAGACCTAGGGCCCTGCGGTACCTAGTCCCGCTGTCCTAACGGGACCGGGACTCTGTGTAACCCAGAGGCGAGTGTAGTGTGTGTAGCCATAGGCATAAGGTCTACACGAGCCGAATGCAGTGTGTGTAGCCAGGGACATAGGGTCTACACGAGTCGAGTGTATTGTGTAGCCAGAGGCGTAGGGTCTACACGAGTGAAGGGTATCGTGTGTAGCCAGAGGCCTAGAGTTTACACGAGATTAGTGGAGTGTGAAGTCGGAAGAAAGGAGACCACACGTTGTATTTTGACACGTAAAGATTTAATAAAAAGTGTGTTCCCGTCAAGAAGTTCCTGCCGTCAATTCCCATACTTCACAGGTAACGAGCTGAGATTAGGAGCACACTCTTAAAGGGAGTGCTCCTAATCTCAGCTTGTTACCTGTATAAAAGACACCTGTTCACAGAAGCAATCAATCAACCAGATTCCAAACTCTCCACCATGGCCAAGACCAAAGAGCTCTCCAAGGATGTCAGGGACAAGATTGTAGATCTACACAAGGCTGGAATGGGCTATAAGACCATCGCCAAGCAGCTTGGTGAGAAGTTGACAACAGTTGGTGCGATTATTCGCAAATGGAAGAAACACAAAAGAACTGTCAATCTCCCTCGGCCTGGGGTTCCATGCAAGATCTCACCTCGTGGAGTTGCAATGATCATGAGAACGGTGAGGAATCAGCCCAGAACTACACAGGAGGATCTCGTCAATGATATCAATGCAGCTGGGACCATAGTCACCAAGAAAACAGTTGGTAACACACTACGCCGTGAAGGACTGAAATCCTGCAGCGCCCGCAAGGTCCCCCTGCTCAAGAAAGCACATATACATGCCCGTCTGAAGTTTGCCAATGAACATCTGAATGATTCAGAGGACAACTGGGTGAAATTGCTGTGGTCAGATGAGACCAAAATTGAGCTTTTTGGCATCAACTCAACTCGCCGTGTTTGGAGGAGGAGGAATGCTGCCTATGACCCCAAGAACACCATCCCCACCGTCAAACATGGAGGTGTAAACATTATGCTTTGGGGGTGTTTTTCTGCTAAGGGGACAGGACAACTTCACCGCATCAAAGGGACGATGGACGGGGCCATGTACCGTCAAATCTTGGGTGAGAACCTCCTTCCCTCAGCCAGGGCATTGAAAATGGGTCGTGGATGGGTAGTCTAGCATGACAATGACCCAAAACACACGGCCAAGGCAACAAAGGAGTGGCTCAAGAAGAAGAACATTAAGGTCCTGGAGTGGCTTAGCCAGTCTCCAGACCTTAATCCCATAGAAAATCTGTGGAGGGAGCTGAAGGTTCGAGTTGCCAAACGTCAGCCTCGAAACCTTAATGACTTGGAGAAGATCTGCAAAGAGGAGTGGGACAAAATAACTTCTGGGATGTGTGCAAACCTGGTGGCCAACTACAAGAAACTTCTGACCTCTGTGACTGCCAACAAGGGTTTTGCCACCAAGTACTAAGTCATGTTTTGCAGAGGGGTCAAATACTTATTTCCCTCATTAAAATGCATCTCAATTTATAACATTTTTGACATGCGTTTTTCTGGATTTTTGTTGTTATTCTGTCTCTCACTGTTCAAATAAACCTACCATTAAAATTATAGACTGATAATTTCTTTGTCAGTGGGCAAACGTACAAAATCAGCAGGGGATCAAATACTTTTTTCCCTCACCGTATGCTGCGTGGTGCAGCATGTGGTGTGTGTGCTGCGCTGCGCTCTGTGTGTACTGCAAGATGCACGTGTGCATGCTGCGCTCTGCGCTGTGTGTACTGCATGTTGCACGTGTGCATGCTGCGCTCTGCGCTGTGTGTAAGCCGGTGGCCACACAGCCGCTATATATACACACACGCCGCCGTCTGCTGCGCTGTTTATATTAATACCCCGTCTCCGGTGAGTTCCACCGTGATGCACCACCACATGCCAATTACGTGAGTGGGCCGTGACATTCCTGCTGCTGCTGCTGCTGCGTGCCCGGTGCAGGCCCCCGACCCTGGCACCCACGAATGGTATCTGCCACTTGACAGGGAGCCAGCAGCTGATTGTAGACCCCCCCCCCCCCCAATCACCGTATAAAGAGGCGGGTGGGGAGCGCTCTCATCTCAATCCGCAAGCTTCCCCGAGCCTCCTTCACCCGTCTCGGCTGCCTGCGAGCTCCTTCGATTCCTTCCCATCTCAAGGTGAGTGCGAGGCGGCTCAGAGGCCGTTACATCCACTGCTGGATGTAACGGCCTCCCGCCCACCCGCCCGGCCACCACCGCCTCTCCCCTGCCGCACCAATCCCCGACGCGTGCTGCTTGGGGTCACGGTGGGTGCCTCGACCATACTTCACCACGCCGGTCACGGCGGGGTGAGTGGCAGGGGCACGAGGCGAGTTGCACGGGTTGGCTACGTGCGGTGCGAAATAAGTTCAACGCACGGTACATTGATGGCGTTGTTTCATGCGTGTGAGTGTGTCTGTACGTGTGTGTGAGTGTGTGTGTACATGTGTGTGAGTACATGTGTCTGTGTGTGAGTGTGTGTGTACATGTGTGTGAGTACATGTGTCTGTGTGTGAGTGTGTGTGTCTGTACATGTGTGTGTGTGTCTGTACATGTGTGAGTGTGTGTGTCTGTACATGTGTGAGTGTGTGTGTCTGTACATGTGTGTGTGTGTACATGTGTGTGAGTGTGTGTGAGTGTGTCTGTATATGTGTGTGAGTGTGTGTGTACATGTGTGTGAGTGTGTGTGAGTGTGTGTGTCTGTACATGTGTGTGTGTCTGCACATGTGTGTGAGTGTGTGTGTGAGTGTGTGTGTACATGTGTGTGTGTGTGCATGTGTGTGCGTGTGTGTGTCTGTACATGTGTGTGTGTCTGTACATGGGGTGGGGGGAGCGGTAGTGTAGCCGTCAGCGCGCTGCGCTACGAACCCGGCGACCCGAGTTCGATTCCCGCTCACGGCCAACACCGGTGACGATGATCTGAACTGGTCATGAGCCTCTCCTAGGTCGACTCAGCCTCAAATGAGTAACTTAGATGCGGTGTGTAAACATCGCCACTGGGGAGGCAAAGGCGGCCGGGCGTGGAGCTGGTCACCCCACCCCCTCGTGTGCCGTGCCGGCATCAAAGGTGCTCGCTAACAGCACTTGCCCCAACAATCTGTTAAGGCTATTCGGGGGATCTTTGTCTTTGTAGAGACCAGTACGACGTATTAATGATGTGTATGTACATGTGACTTACCGTCTTCTCAGCACTGTAAGAACTGGTCAACATTGTCTAGGTTGTTTGCTTATTTTGGCATACATCAGCGCGGTTGGATAGGTACGGTGCGAAAGAAGTTGAACACACAAACACAGCACAGCTTGCTAGGTACGGTGTGAGCGAAGTTCAACACTCACACAGCACGGATGGCTAGGTACGGTGTGAGCGAAGTTCAACACACAGCGCGGCTTGCTAGGTACGGTGTGAGCGAAGTTCAACACACACAGCGCGGCTGGCTAGGTACGGTGTGAGCGAAGTTGAACACACACTCACAGCACGGCTTGCTAGGTACGGTGTGAGCGAAGTTGAACACACACAGCGCGGCTTGCTAGGTACGGTGTGAGCGAAGTTGAACACACACAGCGCGGTTGGTTAGGTACGGTGTGAGCGAAGTTGAACACACACTCACAGCACGGTTGGTTAGGTACGGTGTGAGCGAAGTTGAACACACACTCACAGCACGGCTTGCTAGGTACGGTGTGAGCGAAGTTGAACACACACTCACAGCACGGCTTGCTAGGTACGGTGTGAGCGAAGTTGAACACACAGTCACAGCACGGCTTGCTAGGTACGGTGTGAGCGAAGTTGAACACACACTCACAGCACGGCTTGCTAGGTACGGTGTGAGCGAAGTTGAACACACACTCACAGCACGGTTGGTTAGGTACGGTGTGAGCGAAGTTGAACACACACTCACAGCACGGTTGGTTAGGTACGGTGTGAGCGAAGTTGAACACACACTCACAGCACGGTTGGTTAGGTACGGTGTGAGCGAAGTTGAACACACACTCACAGCACGGTTGGTTAGGTACGGTGTGAGCGAAGTTGAACACACACTCACAGCACGGCTTGCTAGGTACGGTGTGAGCGAAGTTGAACACACACTCACAGCACGGCTGGCTAGGTACGGTGCGAAAGAAGTTCAACACTCACACAGCACGGTTGGCTAAGTACGGTGTGAGCGAAGTTGAACGCGCGCACTGCCCCCACGCCCCGCGGCAGGCGAGCGGCGATCTGAGCGAGCGCGATGTCTGACCTGGAGGGCTGCATGACGACGCTGATCGCCGTCTTCCACGCCTACTCGGGCAAGGAGGGCGACAAGTACAAGCTGAACAAGGGCGAGCTCAAGGACCTGCTCACCAACGAGCTCAGCGGATTCCTCGGGGTGAGCGCGGCGCGTGAACAGAAGTGTGCACGTGCTGACGTGCGTTCAAGTGCGCGTGTTCGTGCGTGTGTGCTCACGCACGGGTGTGCTCACGCGCCTGTGTGTACGCGAATACTTGTTCACGCGAGTGTGTTCATGCGCGTGTTCAAGCGCTTGTGTCCATGCATATGTTCACGTGCGCGTGTTCACACGCGTTTGTTCACGTCTGCGTGTTCACGAACATTCACGTGAGTTTATGTGTATTCACGTTTTCGTGTTCATGCGTATTCATGTGCGTGTGTTCCTGTGTGTGTTCACGTGAGTGTTCATGCGTATGTTCACGTGCGTGTGTATGTTGTGTTCATGCCCGTGTGTGTTCATGTGCATGTTCTGTTCGTGCGTGCCCGTGTTTATGTCTCTGTGATGCCTCAATGTCCAATAAGGAATTAGCCAGACATCCGCGGGCAGGACGCTCCTGACTGAATCGCCCCGAGAGTCTTTGTTTGTGGTGGCTCTCCTTGACTTTTGTTGTGAGGTTCGCATCGTCGACGACGATGATGACGACGATGACGACGATGACGATGATGCTGAATATGATGACAATGATGATGACGATTATGATGATGACAATGATGATGACCTTGATGCTGATGTTGAATATAATGACAATGATGACAATGATTACGATGATTACGATGATGATGACAATGATGATGATTACGATGATGATGACAATGATGATGACCTTGATGATGCTGATGCTGAATATCATGAAAATGATGATAACGATTATGATGATGACAATGATGATGACCTTGATGATGCTGATGCTGAATATGATGACAATGATGATGATTACGATGATGATGATTACGATGATGATGACGATGATGATCTTGATGATGATGAAGATGATGGTGTCCTTAACGATGATGATGACTATTGCAATGATGACAATGATGATGACAAATGATGATCATGATGATGACAATGGTGATGATGATGACAATGATGGTGATGACAACGATGGGGACATTGACGACAACGATGATCACGATGGCCTCCGAGCGGTCGAGCCACCGCGACGTTCACGCGGTCGCGCGGCTGTGGAGAGCAGAGTCAGAAGGACGCGGCCGCCGTGGACAAGGTGATGAAGGACCTGGACTCCAACAAGGACGGCGAGGTCGACTTCCAGGAGTTCATCATCCTCGTGGCGGCGCTCACCGTGGCCTGCAGCGACTTCTTCAAGGAGTACCTCGAGAGCGCGGGCAAGATCTGATTGGTGGAGCAGACCGGCCTCCTCCTCCTCCTCCTCCGTCAACATCCCATCGTCTCTTCTGCTTCCACTCCTTCACCTCGTCCACCACCACCACCACCACCACCACCTTCTCTCTCTCCTCCTCCACCACCTCCTCCCACTTCACTTCCTCCTCCACATCTCCCAACACCACCACTACCTCCATCACCACCACCACCACCACCACCACCTCCTCCTTCCAAAACTCGTACCCTCTTCTCACCCGACTCCTCTTCCTCCATCACCACCTTCTCATTTCACTCCTCCTGCTCCTCTCAAAACCTCCATGGCCCCCCGCGACAGCCCCCCCCCCCACTCGGAGTCGCCCTGTGCCACACGCGGCGCGCTGGAGGAGGGAGTGGCGACCCTGAGAGGTGTCCGCAAATTCCATGACGGGTGGGCGGCGTGGGTGCGAGTTGGGTGTCTCATATCGCGTCGATGATTCGTTTTGTTTACTTCACACGAACTCTGCGACGTCGCTTCTCCACAGTTCCCCCCTCTCCACCACGGCCCCCCCACCGTGTTGCCCACGCGCCGCGACACCCCCCCCTTCTACTCCCCCCCTTCCGCGCCCCCCCCCCCACCGCCTCTGTTGTCGAGGAGCTCAGCAATAAAAACCTCGCTCAGTGCACCGCGTCTCGAGTGTTGGGGCTCAACCCCCTTCCTACACACACACACCACACACACCACACGCACACACACACCACACACACCACACATACATACATACACACACCAAACACATACACACACACCACACACACACACCACACACACCACACGCACACACACACCACACATACATACATACACACACCACACACACACACAACACACACACCACACACACACACAACACACACACCACACACACACACCACACATACATACATACACACACACCACACACACACACCACACCACACACACACAACACACAACACACACACACCACACACACATACATACACACACCACACACATACACACACACCACACACACACCACACACACAACACACACATCACACACACATACACACCACACACACACCACACACACACACCAAACACACACAACACACACACACACCACACACACATACACACCACACACACACCACACACACAACACACACTACACACACACCACACATACACACACACCACACACACACAACACACACAACACACACATACACGCACACCACACACACACCACACACACTACACACACACAACACACACAACACATACACACACACCACACACACATACACACACACCACACACATACACACACACCACACACACACAACACACACACAACACACACACACCACACACACATACACACCAAACACACACAACACACACACACACCACACACACCACACACACACTACACACACACCACACATACACACACCACACACACACAACACACACACCACACACACAACACACACCACACACACCACACACCACACACACCACACACACCACACACACAACACACACCACACACACACACAACACACACACACACACACCACACATACACACACACACATACACCACACATACACACACCACACACCACACACACCACACACACACCACACATACACACACACACCAAACACACACAACACACACGCACACCACACACACCACACACACAACACACACCACACACAACACACACACCACACACACACACAACACACACACACATACACACACACATACACCACACACACCACACACACAACACATACACCACACACACATACACACACCACACACACACCACACACACAACACACACCACACACACAACACACACCACACACACACCACACACACACCACACCACACACACACCACACACACACCACACAACACACACACCACACACACCACACACACACACAACACACACACACATACACACACACATACACCACACACACCACACACACAACACATACACCACACACACATACACACACCACACACACACCACACACACAACACACACCACACACACCACACACACCACACACACACACAACACACACACACATACACATACACACACACATACACCACACACACCACACACACAACACATACACCACACACACATACACACACCACACACACACCACACACACAACACACACCACACACACACCACACACACAACACACACCACACACACACCACACACACACCACACCACACACACACCACATACACACCACACATACACATCAGCAAGGCCCGAAGGGCCAACGCCGTGTGGCGGGCAGCGACAAACAGCACCGGTGTCAGAGTCGTCCTCACGGGCGGAGAGCGTGGGTGGTTGTTGCTGGAAGAGCGTGGGTGGTTGTGGTTGTTGTTGGAAGATTGTGGGTGGTTGTGGTTGTTGTTGGATGAGCGTGGGTGGTTGTGGGGGGTCAGGAGCGGTGGGGCTGGTGAGGGGGGGGCGTGAATTCGCAAAGCGGAGCCGAGTGGGGAGGGGAGAAGCCGAGAGAGAGAGAGAGAAGCGGTGTGGTGAGTGAGCCAGATGGTGGGTGAGTGAGTAGGTGGGCGAGTGAGTAGGTGGGTGAGTGAGTAGGTGGGTGAGTAGGTGAGTGAGTGAGTAGGTGGGCGAGTGAGTAGGTGGGTAAGTGAGTAGGTGGGTGAGTGAGTAGGTGAGTCAGTAGTTGTGTGAGTGGGTAGGTGGTTGTGTGAGTGATTGGGTGAGTGTGTGGGTGAATGAGAGTGTGAGTGTGTGGGTGTGTGAGTGGGTGAGTGCGTGAGTGTGTGGGAGAATGAGCGCGTGAGTGAGTGGGTATGCGAGTGGTTGAGTGAGTGAACGAGGGACCCAGCCCTCGCACGGTCACGAGCCGATGTTCCCTCCTTTAGCTGCCATTCTGAATTTCGTCTCGACCACCGGCCACTGCCGTCCCTTCTCGCTGCGTTCTCTGCTGCCCAATCCCTCTTTCTCGTCTTCTTCTTCTTCTCGTCTACCCAGGAACGCCTCGCCGAGTCTCAAGGCTTTTATTACTCAACTGCAATCCCAGTTGAGTATTTTGCGGTTGATTTTCATCATTGGGATATGGTTTTGGCCGATAGCAGTTACACTGTGTGTGTGTAAGAGGAGAAAACAGCAGATCCAGGAGGAAACCCATGTAGCACAAGGGGAGAGAATACAAACTCCACTCACTCACTCACTCTGTAGAACAGGCGGAGATCATACACACTCCACTCACTCACTCTGTAGAACAGGGGGAGATCATACAAACTCCACTCACTCACTCTGTAGAACAAGCGGAGATCATACAAACTCCACTCACTCACTCACTCTGTAGAACAGGGGGAGATCATACAAACTCCACTCACTCACTCACTCTGTAGAACAAGCGGAGATCATACAAACTCCACTCACTCACTCACTCTGTAGAACAGGGGGAGATCATACAAACTCCACTCACTCACTCACTCTGTAGAACAGGGGGAGATCATACAAACTCCACTCACTCACTCACTCTGTAGAACAAGCGGAGATCATACAAACTCCACTCACTCACTCACTCTGTAGAACAGGGGGAGATCATACAAACTCCACTCACTCACTCTGTAGAACAGGCGGAGATCATACAAACTCCACTCACTCACTCACTCTGTAGAACAAGCGGAGATCATACAAACTCCACTCACTCACTCACTCTGTAGAACAGGGGGAGATCATACAAACTCCACTCACTCACTCACTCTGTAGAACAGGGGGAGATCATACAAACTCCACTCACTCACTCACTCTGTAGAACAAGCGGAGATCATACAAACTCCACTCACTCACTCACTCTGTAGAACAGGGGGAGATCATACAAACTCCACTCACTCACTCACTCTGTAGAACAGGGGGAGATCATACAAACTCCACTCACTCACTCACTCTGTAGAACAAGCGGAGATCATACAAATTCCACTCACTCACTCACTCTGTAGAACAGGGGGAGATCATACAAACTCCACTCACTCTGTATAACAGGGGGAGATCATACAAACTCGACTCACTCTCACTCTGTATAACAGGGGGAGATCATACAAACTCCACTCACTCACACTGTAGAACAGGGGGAGATCATACAAACTCCACTCACTCTCACTCTGCAGAACAGGGGGAGATCATACAAACTCCACTCACTCTCACTCTGTATAACAGGAGGAGATCATACAAACTCCACTCACTCTGCAGCACAGGGAGGGATCATACAGGGTAGCTTCTGAACAAGAGCTAGTTCACTGGGGGCTTTACCTGGTTAACGAGGCATAGATTAGTTGTCGTTTCTCTCTATGTAGGTCACCATTCCTTTCCCATTACGCGTTCCCTCTCGTGCCCATGGTGAAGGCGGGGAGGGGTGAGGGGGGGTGGGAGGGGGGGGGCCACGGGGCTTTTGGGTTCATGCGCTGAGAGGCAGCGGCGTGGCGCTGCTGCGGGTCGTGGGGGATGGAGCGGTGGCGCAGCGGTGAGCGCTATCCCCGCTTCGAGGATTGCGGCCAAACTCGACTCGACGTTCGAATCTCGGCCCTTTAACAAGCAGCTGATGCGATGCTGCAAATCGTCAGCACAGCCACGGGACGCAGAGGCGGTGCTAACTTCGTGTGCGCTGTGCCGGCCTCACTAAGGGGCTCGCCAACAGCAGCTGCCCCGACCGCCTCGGCCGTGGCCGTCTCTGTGACGCCTCAGCACAGCGCAGTGCGCTAACCACTGCGCCACCGCTCTGCCACGGGTGGCACCAGACGCGCTCCACTCACGCCGAGTGAAAGTTTTCAACCATTGTCCCGCTGCCTGCTGCTGCTGCTGCCTGCTGCTGCTGCCTGCTGCTGTTATCTGCTGCTACTGCTGCTGCTTCCTGCTGCTGCTGCTACTGCTGCTGCCTGCTGCTGCTTCCTGCTGCTGCTGTCTGCTGTCTGCTGCTGCTGCCTGCTGCTGCTATCTGCTGCTGCCTGCTGCTGCTGCCTGCTGCTGCTATCTGCTGCTGCTGCCTGCTGCTTCCTGCTGCTGCTGCTACTGCTGCTGCCTGCTGCTGCTTCCTGCTGCTGCTGTCTGCTGTCTGCTGCTGCTGCCTGCTGCTGCTGCTGTCTGCTGCTGATCCTGCTGCTGCCTGCTGCTGCTGCCTGCTGCTGCTTCCTGCTGCTGCTACTGCTGCTGCTTCCTGCTGCTGCTGTCTGCTGTCTACTGCTGCTGCCTGCTGCTGCTGTCTGCTGCTGCTGCATGCTGCTGTTGACTGCTGCTGCTGTCTGCTGCTGCCGCTTCCTGCTGCTACTACTGCTGCTGCTGTTGCTGCTGTTGCTGCTGCTACTGCTGCTGCTACTGCTGCTACTGCTGCTACTGCTGCTGCTTCCTGCTGCTGCTACTGCCTGCTGCTGCTGCTACTGCTGCTACTGCTGCTGCCTGCTGCTGTTGCTACTGCTACTGCTGCTACTGCTGCTGCTATCTACTGCCTGCTGCTGTTGCTACTGCTACTGCTGCTACTGCTGCCTGCTGCTGCTATCTACTGCCTGCTCCTCAGGCACTATGCTCCCCCCCAGCCCCCCCGGGTTCCGCTCTGTCAAAGGCATTCTGGCTCCGA